ATTTATCAACATAACTCATCAACATAATTCATTAACATGATTTATCAACATAATTCATAGCAACTCGGCCATAACAACAATACAACAGCAGATCGACAATGCCTCAACGTTGGCCATAGACCTACAACATGATAATGCCCATAATTAATTAATCGTCTAAGGCTTATCTCTAATTACCAAACCTCTACCTATTATTATTCCGTAATACTACATCATTGTCATTTTAAATCTTACTGGTATTAACAAAACATAATCTAAGATCGTCTTATCCTCATCATACTTCACAAAATCATCATAGTGATTAACACGGGAAGCTAACTCTAATCCTAATTTGGATACTAGGATTATTATTATTCTTATCCTTCATTTTAATCCTTAAGAATGAATTTCATCACGTTAGCTATCCAACACTTCAAACGGCACCTCAAACAGAGTCCAGAAACTCAAGTTACAGTCTTAGGACACAAATCTGTCAAAAATCAGACTGCATGAGTCGACGCATACTTCTTTGAGTCGACGTGTACTGGGTTTTGAGTCTTGCATGAGTCGACGCGTAACCTCTTGTGTTGACTCATACTGAGTCTGAAATACTACATATGTCGATGCATGGTCCTTATGTATCGACTCATCCTGAGTCTTAACTCTTACATGTATCGACGCATGGCTTTTGAGGTCGACTCATACTGACCTGTGATGAATATATTCCGCGATTTCATTGCGTTTACACTGCAATTTCCTTGCCTTAGGCCCTAAAAACATACTCTAATCATATGTAATCATCAATTATAATAATCCTATGTTTCTACATCAATTATACAACATTAGGGCATCATTATTCATCTCTAAATCATTGATCCTCATCAAACAACAATATATATATTTCAATCATAAACAAAACAACTTTTCACATCCAATCCCACATACTACTCATGATAAACCCTATTATAGAGTTAGAACCCCACCCTTACCTTGGATTGAAGGTTGCTCTACAACTTTTCCGATTGAATTCCGTTCTGGCTCTTTTCCTTCTTTTCTGCAACTTTCACGTTCTCTTCCAACCCTTATTTTCTTTCTCTTCTTACTGCTACTCCTTTTCCTAATTAATTCTAAATAACTAATATAATAACCCTATAATTCTCATTATGTCTTAATGGGCTCAAAACTCCTACACCCCCTTTCTACTACTTTTAATCCTTAAAAATAAGCCCACATCAAATAATATTATTATTCTAATATTATTCCACAACTTAATAGAATAATTAAATCCAATTAATCACAAAACAACATCTATCATCATAAAACAACTTCACAAATAATCCAAAAATAATTTAGTTAAATAATTAATTAAATTATAGGTGTTACATCAATGCACATTACAAAGTAAAATACAAACATGATAGTCGTTTCCAAAACACTCCCATAAGTCTCTATGTATTAGTTCTTCATTATTTAATTATTCTCCTAATATTCACTTCTAAAATACACTACATGGCAATATATTTTCTTCTGCTATTTATCAAGTCTGCTACTTTATTCTGCTGCTCATCTAAATTTACTACTTATTATATTTCTGCTATTTAATTAATCCTCCAAAACAATTACTGCAATTGCACCAACTATTTCTAACTTTGTCTTATTACTATAGGCTGTTAAAATTATGTTGAAACTACTAAATTAAGATTACTGACATAAAGACTACATCTATTAATGTCTTTCTGCTATAACATACTACTGATAAGAATGGTTCAATTTGTTCCCTAACTGCTTTTGTATTACTGAATTCTATACTGATACCATATAAAAATTATATAACATATTGCCACAGAAACAAGTGCCTGTCTGTGCCTAACAATCAGTGCCAAACGATACTCTTCTTCAACAACAATACTTAGTGCCAAACGGCACTCTCCTCTCTCTCAAGGCTGCCGACCGGCAGCACTCACCACTAACAAGGTGACAATCGGCATGCCCCATATTCTTATAATTTTCAAATTTCCTATTACTTCTCCAGTTTCCTTTGATCCACGTATTTTCAACGGAGCAGTCAATCAACAACACACGGGAATACAAAAGTTTCACCAATATTCATCACTAATTAATTCCTAACATCAATTGCCATAAACAAACGTAAACAGTAATAATTTATACCCTAAATCTCCACATACAATTTCTCATAAGCCTCATTATAGGATAAGAAAATCCATCCTTACCTGATTTAGTTTGAAGGCAACTCTATGTGTCTCCGATTGAATCTCCTCTTGGCCTCTTGGTTCAACCTCACGTATCTCTCTTCTTCTCCAAAAACCCTATTTTCTTTTTCCTCCTCTTACTGATAACTAACTTCTTTCCTCTCTTATTTTCTAATAATAATATAATATTATTCTATTAATCCAAATAAATCCATTTGGACCCAAATGCTACACCCACTTTTACTTCTTGACGCCATAACATAAGCCCATTACTAATTCTATTCTTATTTCTAATAAATTACTACTCTAATATTTCTACCACTTAATCAATTCATCACTTAAATAGTATTTCATTAATCCCAACATAAGAATTATTATTAATCAACTAATTAATTAATTATTCCAACAACTCGCACCAATAATTCTTAACATCACGCAACATCACAAATGATCCAAAAATATAATTTAATTAAATAATTAATTAAATTAACGGACGTTACACTTACAAATGAACAATAAACGTTTAGAGTTTGAATATGTTAACAAAAACGATATATGGGCTTCCAATGGAGAAACAGATTTAGGAAGATGATTGGGGAAGAACATTGGAGAATGATGGAACATGATAAAAACGTTTACGGTTATGCAATTACCTACATTTATTTTATATAATTTTTGTAAAAAATTAGTTTGTAATGATGTGGATATTGAATTTTTAAAATTGGTAAAAAATAAAGTGTCACGTCATTAGTATACCTGTCACATATACATTTTTAGGAGGAGACAAAAAAAAACCAAAAATATTGAAAGTGAGGGACCTAAAACCTGTTTTTTCTTAAAGAGGGATTAAAAGTTAGAAAATCTAAAGAGGGGAGGGGGGGGGGGGGGGTGTTGTCAAAATTGCATTTAAACCTAAAATATATCTTGGTTAAACCTGAGTAAAAAAATGAGCAGTTAACATATCTTATAAATTTTTCTGAAAGAATGCGAACATATGACTGTAAAATGAATTCAAAGAAATATGAATCTGGTTTAATTGTAAAAAAAAATTTGGTTTCTTAATTCAAGAAAAAGTAGAGGTGTACTCAAGCAATAAGAAAGCTATTTAAGAATTTCCTCTTCAAATAATAAGATGCAACTTCAATATTTTCTAGGCAAAGTAAATTATATTTGAAGATTTATCTCAAATCTTTTTTCGAAGGATAAAGGTGTTCACTCCTTTATTATAGGTTTAGAATGAAGAAAAAACTTGACGGGCTTTGAACATCATACGGTATTTGAGGAAATTAAAATGTATTTTTTGAAGTTTTCGCAAAAGGTGTTCACTGTTTTTTCCTAGAAGGCCGCTAAGCGCGAGTGCGCTTAGCGCATTTTGTAGTGCGCTGCTTGCGTTTTGACATTTTAACAAAATCATAGTTTTTGAGCCTGCTTAGCACGGATAGCGCTCTTAGCGCAGTTTAGATCAGTTTAACGTGTGAATAACGCGGTCTGCCCGCTTAGCGCGGTCTGCAGAGATGAGTTTTATAAAAATAAATTTAGTTCATTTTTAGGTTATGATGTTAGTGAAGTTTTTGCTTCCAACTCCATCAACCTCTAATTTTGTTAGGATTAACTTAGATAACACTATGGAGCTTGCATACAGATGATCTAGGGTGAATTACTCTTCGATCGACACTGACAAACCAATAGATATGTGGTTTATTTCTCTTTTTCTTTGTGTATTCTCTATTAGTTGAGTTTGTATATGTATTTACTTTGAACTCATGTATATTTTCCGCCCTTGACGTTGTATAAAACTTGCTTTACAAATCTTTGTCGATTGTTATCCTTGATTTTTGCTCTGTGCTAGGGATTTAAGTTGTTATAGACGTATACTGCTTGAATTTTTATATATGATGATTATCTAATAGTGTCTGAATTTTAGAGATAGATTTAGCGTTGTTATTCACTTAGGGTGTCTGTGATTAATGCATATGTGTTATTTGTGTCGCTCTGAGAGATTATCGATACAAGCGAGCACAGTTGACTTCTATGTTGTTAAGGTTGATTGAGAGATCGTCGAGGTGATGTAGTGGGTGTTGTGTTTGACATGTGATGACATTGATGAATATTGTAGGTTTAGTATAACAGGTCGATAAGTTTAACTCTGTAAGAAGTAGTATATATGCATGCTTGATAAATTATTCTTTTTTCCTTTTTATACATTTATTTTTTATTAATACTTTTCCTTTCAACCCATTTATCCCCCAAACTCATTAACAAGAGATTTATCGAACGATATAATATAACCTATATCACTCGGTAAATTAATAACTTACTTTTTGCTTGCCACTTTACTGCTCTAGCAAAATGGCGTTATAGTCAGGGATTTATGTTTATTGTTTTGCATTGCGATAGTATCTTTATTTTTGAGTTTTGTAATTAATGTATATGTTGTATAGAATTTGTACATAAACTTGTCTATTTTTACTTGTACATATTTTGTGTTTACTTTATGTACTTGTGCATATATGTGTTTTTCTTTGTTTTCACGTATTGTTGTGAATTGTCTCGTTTTCGAAACGTTTGTTGTGTGCTTGTTAGGACAATTTCTTTAGGTTTGCAAGATGTGATAAGGGATATTCGCCCGTATGCAGTACAATATTAGGAATTCCCTCGGACAATGATTCCACAAATAGAAACTACAATTAACTCTTGAATTAGACCTAATTACATTCCATAAGCAAGAAAGAAGAATTGCCTTGCTCACCACCTCCCCCTCTTGAAAGATTTTGCATTAAAGATAATTTCATTTTCCATCCACCATATGGCTTAACATGTAGCCAACCAAACCAACATTCTTTTCCTTTTCCCCACCATCCCTTCCATCTCACTGTAGAAACTTATCATATGGTCCACCATGTCAGAAAAATTCTCCAGCAACATCCCAACCCACCTAGCAACTTTCTGCCAAACAACTCTTGATAATGGGCAACCAACCATGAGACGGTTCAATGACTCTACCATAAGAGAACAGAACACACAAACTTTGTCTATATCCTTAGTGAGGATACCTCTCTTTGCCAATTTCTCCCTTGTAGGTAGCCTATCTCGAATCGCCCTCCACCCCAATACATGTATTTTAGACGGAACCAAAGTTTTCCATGGCATATCTATTGTTGCCATATTAACCATATCTTGTGGGATTTTAATGCAGGCTTTTGAGAAAGCTTCATAACCAGATGATACTGAATATTTACCATCAGGATTTTTGAACCATTTATATACATATCCATCACCCCCACCTTCGGAGCAACTTCCAACACAATTTCTTCCAGCTCCCTTAACTACATTAGCGCTGCACCACCAACCGATCCCATATTCTCTGCCACCAACCACTTCCACTGATTATCAACCAGACCCCCCATCTCTTCCACCGGCGCGCATCCTGATTGTATTGCAATTCAAACAAGTCTGAGAATTGGACCATCAATGGTGTGCCTCCAACACACCGATTTCTCCAAAACCTTATAGAACTTCCCGAGCCTAAGACACTTGAGATTCCATCCAAAAATCGATCGTTAATTACCGTAGCCTACCTTATTGGAACTAAATCCCGCCACCACAACAAGGATTCTCTCCTTACCGCTGCAGGGATACCGCAATACACCACACGTTCCAGACAACCATACTTAAAAATTAGGAGTGGTCTCCATAATGCATCCATATCTACCAGAAAATGCCACTTCCATTTACTCATAAGGGCCTCATTGAATGCCTCAATACTTCTAATTCCTAGCCCACCCTCCTTCTTTGGAACACAAACCTCGGACCAGGACACCAACGAAATACCTCTTTTATCCACACCAGCATTCCAAAGAAATTCTCTCTAAATTGCAATCAGTTCCTTCAGCACTACCTTTGGTATTTTAAAAAAAAAGAGATAGTAAATAGGTATAGAGTTCAATATAGAGTTTATCAACGTTACCCTACCGCCTATAGATAAAAAATTTCCCTTTCCAAACTGACAACCTGTTCTTCATGCTACTTAATACCGATTTCCACACTACTTTCTTCCTATGATTCACCCCTACTTGCAGACCATGAAAGAAAAGAGAATCAAGCCCCAGAATCACAACACAGAAATGTTGACGCTGCCTGCATAAAAGTCTCATCAACATTCAAGCACATCAAGCTGCTCTTGCAAAGGTTTACATTTAGGCCGAACATAAGTTCGAAACCTCTAAGTATCCCCTAATAAACCATAAGTTCCTCCAGTTAGACTCACACAGCAACACTGTATCGTCCGCGAATTCCAGAAGCTAAAACTCCAAAGTAGGGCTTACCTTGAATCCTGAGAATGCCCCAATCTCCACCGCCCGTTTGACTAACAACGCTAGACCCTCCGCCACTAGAGTGAACAAGAAAGGGGATAACAAATCGTCTTGACGCAATCCTTTCCCCATCGAAAAATCACCAGCGGGACTCCCGTTTATGAGTACCAAAAGTGATGCACTGCACACACAAGAATCAATCCACCTTATCCACCTCCCTCCAAAGCCGAACCTTCTCAAAATGCATAGCAAGAATTTCCAATTAACATTATCATGGGCTTTCTCAAAGTCTACTTTTAAAATCATACCTTTCATCTTAAACCTCTTTGAAAAATCAATTAATTCATTAAGCACAACTACACCATCCTAAATTTGTCTCCCGGGAATAAAAGCTGTTTGTGATTTAGACACTAATTTCCCCACCACCCCTTCAATCTATTCCCCAGAAGTTTAGCCACAATTTTGTACATACTACCCACCAGACTTATGGGTCTTTATTCCCCTAACAATTGCGGATTATATACTTTGGGAATCAAAGCAATAAACGACGTTGACACTGCTTTTGGTAGATTCGCCTTTGCATGAAATTCTTCCACGAACTTATAGATATCACCTTCCAATGAATTCCAGCACATACAAACGAAGATGAAATTATAACCATCTAGGCCTGGGCATTTGTTGCCATCGAACTCCCAAACCACGTCCCTAATTTCTTCCACTGAAAACGGTTCCTTCAGGTTTGCAGCTTCTAATTGACTTAACCCTTCAAACTGTAAACCATCTAGCCTTGGTCTTCGAAGATTAATTTCCCTATATTTTTCCTCAAAAAATCTCCTCACCTCTTCCTTCACTCCTGCAACATCAGTCACCCTACCATGTACTGAATCCACCCCACCAATGTAATGGCTCCTTGTTCTCGCTTTGATTATGTTATGAAAGAACCTTGTGTTAAGATCATATTCCCTACACGACCTCAATCTAGACTTCTGCTTGAGCATACTTTCGCATCTCCGTAAATTATTCCAAAATGATCCCACAACGACCGCCTTATCCTTTGAAGCCACACCACCAAATAAAAATGCACATCTTTCACCACACATATTAATTACTTTGAAAGCTTCTTCCAGGGCCAAGTCTACCCTTACGCAAGTAAATCTTCAACATACACATCTTTTATGTAATTACAAAAGCAGCGGACCCAGCAACATGTATTTCACCCCAAGACTTTGCCACAAAGTCCACAAAACCAGAATGCTCCAGTCACCCATTTAAGGACCTAAAGGGTTTTGGTCCCCAGTCAATGGAGTTGCAGTTCAGCCACACGGCACATTGATCTGATACGTCTTTTTGCCCAATCTCCTAAGAAACTGCAGACAAATGGAATTTCACCTCATCACTTTCATCCCCGTAATACCCAGCTAAGAAATGGAATTTCACAAATTCATAGCCGCATCCCTCTTTTCACCTTCCAAGAATCTCATATTCCCTTGCTCTTAGGCCGAATCGCTGATAGAGTCACAACAGTGAGATGAACCACTATATATCGCCTGGCCAGTCGACCCATGATCTTGAATTTATTTAGACTTAGGTTGAGGATTGGGGACAACATTTGGTACAGTTTGATACAAGGGATTAGAAGTTGATTGAATGGAGTCTTCAGAACCATCCCACTCTAAAGGGGTTGTGTTAACTTTTCTACCTTGGGCCTTCTTACCAACAACCTTTTTTGTTGTTGTTGTTATTCTTGGGCTTGGACGGAAAGGTTGGCCCAACACTAAGTTTCCTTTCAAAGGCCCACACATGGGCAAACACCTCCTCTTCTTCTGACTATAATATTTCTTCCTACTATATTTTACCTAACACGTCCCCATTTCAATTTCACTTGATATTTTGTTCTTCCCACCTGACCCAACAATAATATCCTCCTGCTCCACGTTTATTGCAATGTCTACCAATGGTAATTGATTACTAAGAACTGGTATTTCCAATTCCTTTTCATTGACGTGACCTACCTTCTTTTTTGTACCAACGTCCAAATCGTAGCCAAGAAACAACTTTTCACCTACTGCTGTCGTAACTTAATTTCACCCTTCCTCCGGTACCTTTTCAACACCGCTGTCCTCCGTCTTCGAGAGTATTATATGATTTTCCCCCATTTCCTTCCCAACTGGAATCACCCTCACTCGACTCTGGATCTTCATTCTGCTTCTTCTTGTTCTTCATTGCATTTCATGGAATCACGATTCTCATAGGGCCCTGAGAATCCTCCACCACTTTAATTGAATATGCTTCACCATTAACCCTGATGTTTAAAGGCTTGGTTAAGAATAATGTTATACTTTGTCCTAACTGGTATCCTTGCAACATTAAATTTTGAATGCTTGTGTTTCTTCATCATTGCACATATAAACGCCTATCAGAGAAACGAGGAATTGAAAAAACTTCGGACACCATGCATGGCATGGAACTCCATAACATTTCAACCATGTCACCATATCATTATCCACATCCCTTGAGATCCATTTGCGAATCTCGTTGAACCATTGACCCAACCAATATTTAGCCTCCCTAATCAAATACTCCAATTCACCGTCCTCATTTTCCTCTAACAAACACAGAGTTGCCCCCAAAGATGTGACTTTTATCGTAAAGTAGCCCTCCAGATGAAAAGAGTCTTGGATATTGTATTTCATACCTAAATTTTCAACAACACCTACATATGCCTTTTCAAATCTTTCTAAATCTTCCAGCTCCCTATTAAACCCCATATGAGTAAAAAGAGGTTTCAGGTTATTTGCCCTTGTGACTTGAGCGTACGTTCTCCTTCCCCCTCCTTAACTCCCTCACTCGGTAAACCTTCATTGTTACTTTGATGTTGAACCTTATATTGTTGCTTCGTCGGAACTCCACCTCCCCAATTAAACCCATCTTTCCTAGGTTCACCCTTTGCGTGTTTCGATATATTCACATGTAGTTTCCTTCTTTCAATGAAAATATTATCCAATTTTGTCGTTAATAGATTCTGAAATTCTGGCTGCAGGTACTCAATGTCACGTTTAATGTTATGACACCGTATCTGAATTTCTATAAGACAGTAAATACAAAAACAGTAAAGAACACAGTCAATTGTTTACCCAGTTCAGTGTGCAACAACACCTACTCTGGGGGCTACCAAGCCAGGGAGGAAATCCACTATAAGAGATATTAATTCAGGAATAAACCAACCAATTTATCTCCTTCACTTAAGACCTACCCAATGCAACTTCAATCTAAGTACAACTTAAACCTGAGTTCCTACTCACCCCCCTTCAATCACAGCAGTGATACTTAAAACAATTGACTAATGATTTAATGAAGACACTCTTCAAAACATACACTTGATTATGCTTCACAGCTTTTTAATCAAGCAACACAAACACTCTTGCTTCACAGCTTTGAGTGATACATAAACCTAACTTGACTTTGCTTCAAAGCTTTAGTCAAGAGACACAAAACACTCTTGCTTCAAAGCTTTGAGTGATACAAAACCCTTACAATTAAAACCTATTCCAAGTCACTTATCACAATGATACTTGCTTGGATTACAATAGTTAAAACTATACAACTTCTAAATGATCTTCTGTCAAAAGGGATAAATTCCAAACAGCAGCCCTGTTGAATATATAGCAGCTGCTTCTTCAGTTAGGGTTTCCACAAAAAGCTAGGGTTAATTCCGTTTGGCCTTAAGACTTGGTCACAGGACTTTATCAACCAGGTTAGGGTTGAGCTAGGTTAACCCCAAGACCACGAGAGATTCTGTTCTGGAAAGACTGAGTCATTTTCCTGAAAAAACTCAGAATTAACCAAACTGCATAACTGTTAGTTCAGAACAAGATGTCTTAACATTTGTTATGACATCTGAATTCCTGTTTACTGATTTTGGTAAATGTGATCATTTTGCAAAATGCTCATATACACACTCATAAACAGCAACACCTGTATGACATTATTTTTCTGCAAAGGTACCTAATAAATCAGTACCTAATAGACTAGAATGTTATGACATCAGTCATGACATTCACACACCTGGTTTTACCAAAAATGCATGCCAATAACTAAACAAATACAGATTCACATCATTTACTTCAAAAAACCTAACAAACTCGTAGCTTTTCCCTCTAACATCCTTTTTTTGTGGTATTATCACTTCATATACCATTCCAAAATCAACGAATAACATGTACAACTCCTTAGCCTCATAGTCCTCTGGAATCTCAGTGAAGAAGAATGTTGTTACAGATCTCTCATGCATAACACCTCAACCACCATTATTGTTATGGCGAGTGTACCATATTTGCTTCCTCCTCCATACCGGAACCCTTGTCCACTCCTCCCACCCCCACCCCTCTCTCTCTTTTTTTTTTTTATTTTAAATATTGATATAAGAATATTATGAGTTGTTCTAGTTGATACTGAAACTAGATTAGATACATTTCTATTGAGAAGTTATATCTAACTTTGTATTACTCTTGTACTATGTTAAAATACTATATCAAACCTTTTGAGGTCTTTGTAACTTCTAATTTTGATATAATAAAACACTTTTTATATTGAAACTTATTTTTCATGGTAGAGTAAGAAAGTAGCCTTTAGCTTTGGCGGAGTTCTCTTAAACATATATTTATTTGAAGACTATGAAAATTTAGGTTATATATGATTTTTAGAAAACTATTCTAAGAATAACCATGAAAATTTTGAAAAAAAGGGATAAAAATGGTATGAATCCTTAGAAATTATACTTTAATGGGTCATATCATGGAGTAGGTAGTGGAACTGATATGCTTATCGTATCTTCATAAAGAATCACAACAAAGTTTTTGTTTAAACTATTTGAGTGATGTTCAAACAATGAAGAAAAATAGGATGCTTCAATAGTTGTTTTAGATTTATTATTTGTATCAGGAGATCAAACTAGCCATCAACCGACATGTCAAAAGGAATTATCACTGTTCCTGAGAACTACCACAATGAAAGAGTATAAACAATCCAAATCTAATATACATCTAACGACTATCTACATCACACTCATAACAAATAACCGGTTATTATAACCGCTTCACTATATAAAGGATAGACGCAAAGAGTTAAGGTACATAATTTCAAACCCAATTTCTATTCAATCTTCTCACTCACACATTGACTTGAGCGTTGGAGTGCTAAACTTTTAGGCCATCCCCTCCTCCACCGCATTGGAAACTCAAATCCACCATTATCTGTCGTAATCACATATTCATTGATTAAATCTAGTCCTGCAACGGGACATTAGCACTGTTGTACCCCAAAATTTTCCATCTCATTTATCAAGATTATTCTCACAAGGTCTCTTTGACTAAAGAATGGATTAGGGTTTGACCAACTCAAGACATCTCACCATGCACTGATCACCCAAAATTAGGGTTTGAGATTGCACAAAGATTTTGGACTATCAATGCTTCATATGACTTTCAAACATCATTATGGACCCCTAAGATTACTCATGACAAGTTTCAAGCCTTGGACCGCATTTTTGATCAGTCAATTGGACAGTTGACCTAAAAATCAGCTATATTGGGGAAAAAGTCAACCATGGCCAATTTACAGTCAAACTTCATAATTTTTGATCCACATTAACATTTTGGACTCATATGTATCATTTGATCAAGTTTGGACCATAATTCCTCAAGAAATTTGATCAAATCATCAAAAGGGCAAAATGGTTAAAATTAAGGTTTTGACTGAGAAAGGGCAATTTCTGATTTTTGACCTAGAAAATGACCAATTGGTTTGAATCATGATTCAAAGATATCAATTACATCATCTTGACCTAATGACATGGTTCAAAACATTGCATTTTCATTGGATTGACAGATGAAATTTGCAGTCAACTGATCAAAAGTCAACTGTATACTGAAAAGTCAAACTTTGACTTTTTGGTCAAAATTAAGTGCCAAGGATCACAATTTATCAAAACATGTAAAAATGTGAAACTTGTTCATTATGAAATCAAAGATTGAAGATTTGGTTTTGAAATTTGAATTTTTCTTAACTTAGAAATTTTTCTAAGTATAGAAAATTTCTTATT